ATGTAAGGTAGAAGTTCTTCACTGTGAGGGTGGTGAGGTGCTGGAACAGGTTGCCCAGAGAGGTTGTGGATGCCCCATTCCTGGAAGTGTTCAAGGCCAGGTTGGATGGGGCTTTGAGCAACTTGGTCTAGTGTCCCTGCCCATGGCAGGGGGTTTGGAACTAGATGATCTTTAAGGTCCCTTCCAACCCAAACCACGCTATGATTCTATGATTCTATTCCCGTGGCTATGAACTCAACCAACCACTCTTACACAGCTCTTTCCAGAGCCCCCCTCAAACCATGGAACCACTAAGGAGCAACCACAGGAAATCATCAGTAAAAACTAATATTCCATCAAAATACAGGATTGTGAATACAGGTACCACAAGAACACAGGCAGAGATGTCTGCTATTTTTTCTGTTTCCCTTTTTTCCGTTTCTTCAGTTTTCCTAGACAGAGAACTATTTGTGTAGACAAAATAAAATGAAACTAGGTCTTTTCATCTTACAGCTGTTGTGTAGGAGTTGAAACAGGGAGAGGGACTACATGGCCTTTTACTTTTTCCATTCTCATGAAAAGCTTCCTGAGGTGATGTAAAATAACGTAACTTCACTGAAGTCCATAGAACTCCTGTGGTTTACACTTTTTGTGCATCTGACTCACTGGATTTAAAGCAGAAGTGTATGAAAATAGGAGAAATTACTGGGCAAACTCATGCAGGAAAAGTGCTGATGAAATGTCTGCTACTATAAAACTGCATGTTTAGATCTTATCATGTTCTCGGGAATAGGAAAATAATTTTTCTCAGATAAAATTCCTCATATCTCCCACTCATGAAATTCCTGCTTCAGACTGCCCAGTTTTGCATGTTGCAGACTTCCACTGACATTTGGTTTATAAGGATGTGATACTACAGCATCCTTTAAGCTGGAATAGTGGTTTTTACACCAGTTATGAAAAATGTTGCTATAGCTCCATTTTTTAAAAATTTCTTTTGGCCATGCAAAACAAAACATCAGCTGATTGTGAAGCAAGTCTGGCATTTGTATAAGGGCTTTGTTCTATTCTGTTTAAAGCTCTTGCTAATAGAGTTCATAAAACTATTTTCATTTCACAAAGCATTTTAGAGCTGCTTATTCCTGTAATTTTTTAAAGCAATGAGCTATTTTGGGAGGGGCAGAACAGGGTGGATTCAATTTAAAATTATTCCGCTGCTATGCATTTGTAGCTAAACAAAACTCTAAATTATGTATTAATAAAACACTAAATATTAAAAACCCCTGCCAAAACCCAGGCTGTATTACTTGATGGATGGAAAAATAGTGCTATAACAGAGAGAAAAATTCTCACCTCAGTCTGTGGGACAAATGCCTGCAGGTGAGAACACATCAACAACATAATCAAACAAAGAAAATTAAAGAGGGAGCTAGGATCTATTGTTATTAAATGTTTTTTGTAATCTCAGTTTCAAAATTCAGCTCATTTGGTGAGAACAAGTCAACAGTTGCAGGATATTCAGCAGAGGTGAATTTAAGATTTACTGTGTACTTCCAGAAATTCACTTTTCCACTTAGAGAAAATAAATATGCAATAAATAATAACAATGAACAAATAGGCAGGTAAATATATTATCATTACAAGAAAGAGCTGATAAATGGGCACAGTATTTTGGCTAGTGATTTTCCATAAAATCTTTTTGTACTACTGATCTAATGTAATGACTGAAATTTCTTACAAAGGAGAGTCTTCACCTCTGCTGCTTGCAGGGAGGCTATTTGCTACTGTTAGTTCACATAGAGGCATTTAATATCTGGAATCCTGCACTAAAAGCCAAAGCTGGTTCCACTGGGCAGCTAGAATTTTCAGGTCCAGACAACAAACACACTACACCCTGTTCTTGTACATGCAAAGAGATAGTGACCCTTTCATACTGATAGTGCGCAAGACATGACAATTTTTTACTTCTAGTCAGCTATTAAAAAGTCAGAGGCATATTTTCATTCATAGTCATGATTTAAAAGAGAGTAATACATGAACCTTAACCAGGTTACATACACATCTGCCGAATATGACTAACCTTCCTTTCGCATTAAAAAACCTTTCTGTTACAAGTAACCTTCACAACATTGCTCTCTCCCAAATGAAGAAGTCACACCCAAAGGGTTCATCCAACCAAAAATGAGTAAGCTCTCATCAAAACAAACCTCCTCCTCTGAACCCCCCCAGCCTCAGCAGCCTACCCTTAACCACACAGAGCACAGCCAGCGTCACATTTCCAGGCTGATAGCGAAACAAGCTCTCAACCGCAAAATTGCAGAAGTACTAGAGAGTTCATGAAGTTCATTGGGGACTTGGTTACGGCCATTAATTTTACATGAAAGGCACTCCTATATAACAGGAGCTGCTACCAGGACAAGGCTTTAACCTAACAGATCTGTTGAAAGTTAGGTCTTCTCCCTGCAATCAGCTATAGCCAACCATTACCTCCTCACAGCCCGCCTGCTGCCAGCGGGCCCATCTGTGGACACGACGCATTGCCTCTCTCCTCTGGCCAAAGACCCCAGGAATGTGGTGAGCTGTGTCCTGCCTGCTCACGCCACGAAGGCAAAGCATAAGCAGCATCAGATTATCACCCAGGTAATCCCCCTGGAAATACAGACTCCTCCATGCCCAGAAAATGCTCCACTGAAGAAAACCTCACACAGCATGTAAGGTTCTTCCTGATTGGCTGGCCTTCTGTGGAAGGTTCTGGAAGGGGGCAGAGCAGCCAATCACATCTCTTGGCCCTCCTGAGGGAGCTCTCCTCATGCCAGGCAGACAGTGGGCTATGCTGAGGGAGGGGGGATGAAGCTGTCAGGGCTTGCTGATTTGCTGTTGGCCTCTGCCAGCACCTCTCCCCTCTGGCTAGGCACGGGCCACGCCAACCCTTCTGAGCCACAGGAAGCTCTGGAGAAGCCGCTGCTACACAGCATGGCCAGGATAGGCTATGGAGGAACACTGCAGGATGAGACAGCGGCAAGGAGAGGCGGTAGGAGAGGGGCACAGCTGTGCTGAAGGGGCTGCTTGGGGGGGGGGGGGGGGGAAAGAGAGGGGGGGGCCCTGGGCCCCCCCCCCCTGGGGGGGGGGG